CAATGATCATCCCTGTAAAATACAATATTAAACAACATTTAACATGACCAATCACAACATTGGCCATGTATAAATAAGTATAAAATAAGTATGCAATGGACAAAATATGTTAAGGGTCATACATTATTACAATCTTATATCTTAATTTCAATATCTTTTCCTTTTTCGTTCATTATGTATAAGCAACTATGCGATATAGTTGATACATATTGTCATCCTGCCTGTAACGACTTTGCTCCCGATAAGTAATAGTGTTGATTTATTATGGTCACATCTTCAACGGAATAATATATCAACAGATATGAGATATCATGCCGTTATTTGTAACGCCATGTGCAATTGACATATATAACAATATGTATATTTCCTTCAGCACACGTCAAGAAAACGCCTAGGTAAATTTATTGTTAATACGTCACTCGGAGTTTAGTTATCAATTTAGATGCAAAGAAGATGTTACCTTGTCCATTTTTGGTCAAATAGATACCTCTAGTTTTGCTCTGACTAATGAAAAGGTTTCTGCTTCTATGAGATATCAATCCTGTCTTTGGTCTTGTTTAAAATATAAGCAGTTTCGGAGGCGTATCGGATTCAAGTAACATTAAACAGATGGGACAAAAGTTTACCTAGTCAGATAGGAGAAACTACGCATAACTACGCATGACTTTCTGTGTTTTACATATAACAGGAGTAACTGAATATCTAGATAAATCAAATTAAAAAAAAAAACCGTTTTCTGTGTTTGAAAAGAAAGTTGTTGATAATCAATTCCTACATCAGTTTGTATTCAGTATTTTGATACATTTGATAATGAATGTGTGGTGACTCTATCTATATATGACATATATGAAGCAATAATGTATAAAATAAATAGTCCAATTTCGAAGACAATCAGCTCGTTTATATTATAGATATATAAATGTTTGTTAAATTTCATCTGTTATTTTGAAAACGTTGGCACTTTCCTAAACAAATAATGTTATTGGAGAAAATGAATAGCAATGTTAAGACATAAGATTTTAACATTTTGAAATGTATATGAAAGTTACAATTAAAATGTATGCAGAGATGTCATTACTACCGTGACACATGAACACTTGACCTAGATATACATACATCATTGGTTAAATAATGCTGCAAATATAAAGTGTCGGTATGTTATAACAGACTTTATTATGTACACCAGCTAATCAAACCGAAACCGAAACAAATCAAAGAAACAATTAAAGTGTTCAGTACATCTACACTTCTTAATACTTTAATGGGGAAATAAAACGCTGCTGCAGTTTCATCTCTCTGAATCCCGATGATATTTGTGAATTTGCACGGCATGAATTTTGCAAATTAAAAAAATATATAAACCCAGGTTTAGAATAGATAAATTTGAATTATTACTGTTTGATTTTCGAGTAATCTGACTCTTTACAGAAATAACTGTATTAAATGTATACCGAAAAGTTTAATTTCTAATGTTGACGTGTTTTTCATTTTCAATTTTAAATTAGTATCTAAGCTTGAAGAAAAGGGATAATTTTTCCCGTTGCTTTTACTAAGATTATTTGAATCATTATGGAGTTGATTCGATAGGAGTTTTAATGCGGCTATATACTATAAATAGAATCAAGAATTATGTAAATGAGTATAAATTAGAATCATTGATGGATGTAAATTTGAAGGCATATAAGAAAAAACGCAACAAAAACTAAATAGAGTTTGGACCTCTGAAAAGTTTGACTGGAAACTTGAAAATATAGACAGCGAGTAAGTAGAATTACTGTGGGCGGAAACAATTGCCAGTAAACAGACCGGAAAGTGAACAAACCTAAAACTTCTAATCAAGAGAAATATTGTACATACACACGTGTCTGGAAGTAGTGACTCACTAACGACGATGTTAGTTATTAAAACTAACATGAATCATTAATTGAAGTAATACCAAAAATATGGAATGAGGAAATTTTATCACATTTTAATCGATATATTAACATTTGTATTTTATATGTTGGGTTGTTAGTATATCATGAAGTGATAGTAAGAATAATACATTCAGTAGTGGTTGTCTACTGCCTTAAAAACTAATCACGTGGCATTACCAGTGATGCAACATGTTTCAACAGGGTCTAGTTTAGCATCGAAAGCTAACACAAATTTGATATGATTTCATAAATAATTGAATGAAACAATTATTTCTGTTCTAATTCAGAGAATATTATTTAGACTTAGATCTCGATAATAAAAACACTCCTTTAAAAGTTTTTTTTCGTATCGTCAGTATTAGTTGTTATATCACATTAAATAATGTTGAAATAAAACCAATCCCCTGCTCTCGCTCAGGTATGGAAAAATGTGCCATAAAATTAAGACAAATTGGTACGTTTGGAAAGCAAATCATTGGTATTTAGAAAGAAAAAATAAAACAAAAATGAAAATAATCTCCTGCGTTTATAGAAAAAAACTTCGTTTATCGAAAAGATTAAAGAAAGAGTGTCTCATAGTTGTAATATTACCCTTGTTAGTTTCTAGGCGTTGGGCTTTAACTGAACGTTATGATCATCCTAAAGTGAAGGAAAATTGTAGTTCCTTATAATATTGCTTTTAATTGGATAGTTAAACGATACTCTAGGATATGAATGAGTCCATTTAAGAAGAGCGAAATTTCTTTTATTTATATATTAAATCACAATAGTCTAACTCAATCTACCAATGGTAAGAGTATGAATCCTTGTTAGTCGAACTTCCAAATATCTAGGTGGAAATATTACAATTTGTTGAATGATAAAATTTATCTCCTTAAAATGTTTTTTATCATGAGCATCGTTATGAGAAAGTCTAATAGAGACACCTTATTATAGTTTAATAAATGAGATTGATTTGATGCTGCAGTGACATTTCGCGTTAGTCGTTGTTAAAAATGTTTAAGTGTTAAAAATCGAACTAACTTATTATCTCCTATCACTTAGTGCATGGTTGTATCTTCCAGTACTGAACTCAAGGAACTAAAGGAAATACATATTTGATACCGTACAATCGATGGCGTGTTCGGCAATATGTATGGCCAAATTTGTAAATTTACAGGAAACCAATGGAAAATCCCCAAGAAAATACCAATGTGTCAACACAATCATAATCAAAATTCAAACGAATATGGAAAAACAAAAGATTTACACGAAGACTCCTGAAAAAGTACGGAGATTATAAGACCAGTTGTTCCGAATAGGTAAACATCTTCAGTTTCATCGACGACACCAGCCACATAAACTAGGTCAATTCAAGTATGTAATATCACGTTCACAAATGAAATCACGCAAAAATACAAAATCAATTTGTTTTTCTTTTCTATGTGATAAGTTTTCTTTCAAATACGAAAATCGAATAAAAATATCGAATAACAACAAAGCACACATTTTGAATTATTGCAAAAATGTGAAATGATTTCTTACAAACCTGTGAATGCTAGCTTGGGAACCATTAACATTTTATTGCCATAGATATTGATGTTTTAATGCAGTAGCTTCTGCCATTATTCCGTTAATCGAAAATATGAATCCGTGTGACAATAAGGTATCTGTTTATATTTCTGATGAATTTTATTAATTCAAAATTTGTGAAATAATACTTTTTCTTTATATGTGTGGTGTGCCGGTGACTCAAACGTTTAAAAAGATATAACATGATATTAATTAAATTGGAAACAAAAGTTGTTTAAAATGCAGGAAAATCATTTACATAGAGACCGATGAAAACTTGCAAAAGCAAAACTGTCTACCTATGATCTTTAATCCACATTTCACTGAATTTTCAAAATGCAATGTCGTTGAAAAATTTCTCACAACCTCCACAAAATCAGAGAAGATGTTTAAACGTAGAAAAAACGTCACTTTTTGCTGGTAACGTGCACACACAATTAACAAACACCATTGAGGCCAATTAGAAAATACAAGACATGGGACAAGGTTACCAAAAATACAATGATATTATACAAAAGACACACAAGTAAAAGAACCTTTCAATACAAGTTTAGATTTAGATACAAGAGATTAAAATGAATAGCACTGCATCATACAGCTGTTTCGTCCTTCTATGACTCGTCAGTGATGCTACATCATACAGCTGTTTCGTTCTTCTAGGACTCGTCAGTGATGCTACATCATACAGCTGTTTCGTTCTTCTAGGACTCGTCAGCGATGCTACATCATACAGTTGTTTCGTTCTTCTAGGACTCGTCAGTGATGCTACATCATACAGCTGTTTCGTTCTTTTAGGACTCGTCACTGATGCTAAAGGTCTAAATTTTGAAACCTGGAAGGTGACTAAGGAAAATCCAAAGCGATATTGAAAATGTTAAAATCTAAATGGGAAGGTGCACTCCCACAACATTTCAATAAATTTTGTAAAATTCAGAAATCGGGTAACTTCAAAAGAACGTCAAGTACATGTGTGTAATCTGAACCTTAAAACTCACTGCGTGAAAATGAAGGTAGACAAATTATAAAAATTCAAGGTCATAAAGTTAACACTAAAATAATCTAAACCCAATTTATGTTATTTCATTATGAACAAGAAATAGATAACATTAACCATCTTCATTTTTTAGTGAACGATGCGGCGTGAAATATAAGATATAATTAACGGCCTTTAATAAATAGAAGAATTACTAACATTCCTTCAAAGTTATTGGCTCGGCTAGAATTATTAAACATCACAACCATTAAAAGATACATTAGTATGCTAAGGTTAGTACCGAATAGAATGGAAGGTTCGAGGAATGTGAAAACAGTATATAGTTTCCTTCCTTTATCAGGAATGTTCATATTGTCTATGCATCACCGTCTCAATTATGATTACGGAATGACCACAACATTATTTCAATTATTCCCGTTGACTCGTGCAACAAAAAAACGTATTGGAGTCATCGAAACTGAACAGGTTAATAGGTTTCTATAAACTTTTCCCGTCATTATTCCCACTTCTGTGCTTGACAGGTAAAGGGTGCGTGCGAGTTATACGTTGTTATGGTGATGGTGGTGATGATGAATATGGTCGTTATTATTACTGCTATGAGAATCTAATTTCGCCATCCTGTCGGTGAGAGTGTATCCATTCTCTCGCGGTTTTCGCACCAGATGACATGAACAACAATATAAATGGACAAAAGTCTCTCGGAACTTTGTACTCATCGAACAATACAATATAAAATTAACTGCGTTATTTACAAGTGCAACAATATCCATGACGTCACCCAAGGGAATATAAACTGTGTCAAAGAAATTTTCTACGCATGCGCTACAAACTATTAGAACTCCCTGGGGAAGTTCTGTAACTAGGAACAATACAATCACTGCCACTAACATCTTAGTGGTTCTGGAATGTTCGGAAAGACGTAGAGAACTGGCACCAGATATTTGGAGAACTTTTCTTCGTTGTTTAAGTTTTACATGAATGTTATAGATAAGCAGGGAACCAAAAATAGACATTAATAGACAAGGAATTAGCTTTGCTGTGAAGGCATACATCCAAACATTCACTAGGACAAGGATTTCGGTATCATTTTTGCCAAGTTTCAAATCTCTTAGAACATATATCGTCTCATTTTCATTCGGTAGCGTATCCTGTAGAAGTTCGTTGCTCATGTAATTAGGTATTAGGATGATAGCACTAGCAATGTAAGCAATTAAAATCATCACATTTGATTGGTTAATCCTCTTGAGCCGTGCTGCATTTGCTTTTGTTGGTGACCTAATATGGAGATACCTCACAATAGCCAATAATACACACATCCATATCGACACTGTGTGGGTGGTGGCTGTTAAATTTATATGGAATATCATAAACGTCATCCAGGCTTTGCTATTCTTTGCAGCCGATTTACTTCCAGATGGATGGATACAATAAAAATGGAATGCAAACGGAACGTAGGATATCATCGTACTTATATCTGAAACTGCTAACCACGTCAAGATCTGATTTACCGGAGTGCGCATGTGCCTTCTTGTCAGGACCGATATGTTGAAAATGTTTGTGACAATTCCAAACACACAAACACATATGCTGACATAGCCATGGAAAGATGCGTAGCCCTTGGCAAAGGTAAAGAGCTCTTTCCCCATTACCGTCTGATTCTCCCTCATGGTTGTGTATTCGCAATAGGCATTGGCCGCCGAGAACCTGCAATGGACATTATCACATATGAGACAATGTAATGTAGAAATTTGAAAAACAATTAATGCTGATACACTTTTATTTATCATTGTTAAGAATAGTTCGTCTTTTGATGATGGTGTTTTGAAACTGTGTACATCCTTGAATAACTATTCGAATAAAGTGCAATGTTAGAATCATTGTTTTATTTATCTGAGGAATAATGTAACGGAGTATCACAAATTTGTAATCTTGTTTGTAGTAGGAAAAACTCAAGTCTTATTCTTTACTCAGAATGCGAGAATGAGTTCACATAGTCAGTTTTTATCTTTTAGAGCGGTAAAACACGGAAATTAGAATCCTAACCCATTTCGATATCTATGAAGCAACATCTCTATGTCACAGTGCCCGACTTAATGAAGTAATCACTGGAGTATGTCATATGAATGTATTCCAAATGTATATTACAAAATTAGCTTGATTCATTTCTGTTGTATTATAAGGAAAACACCAGTCGTAAGCTAATGACACAACGTACATGCATTATTTGTATATATGATCGGATGTTGAATATGTTTACATGACACAAATGAGATGAATTTAAAAGTCAATACAAGTACATAATTTCAATATTAAAAATATATATCATTTGGTATCTATCAACATTTTTACGAAATACTGTTCCCTTGAAACAACTTAATAAACTTATGACCAGGGTAAATCATACAGATCAAAGACGGATGAAAATTGTCGATTCTGTTGTCATTGAATATAAAGCTTGTCTTATACAAGGACAACAAGTTCAGCTATTTACTAGACACTTAGAATCGATTACAATTAGAATAACATATGAATATATTTGTACGATGTTGATATCGGTTTTCGTAACATGAGATATAGAAAGATAAAGGCAATAAGAGTTACATAAAGATAATAAAAACAATTGATGATAAAATGAGAAACAAGTTTATTTTCCGTTTTTAGTATTGTTTCAACACATGTACATCTTCGATTTTGTGTTTGCCTCCTCATATCAACGATTGCCATATGAAGACCGTCGAAGGATAATGGGGCCATTGACGGACGCTTTTACAGTGTCATCATACTGAAATGTCAAAACAAGGACAAGGTAAACCTCGCCCGGTCGCGTTAAAGAACTGAATCTACTTACAAATTATGTGTAAAAAACAAGGAAATACTAACATGATAATGAACTTTCATTATAACTGAAGCTAGATAAAATATAGAAAACAAACAGACATATTTCACATTTTTATCTTACCCAACATCAGGTGTAAAATGTGTGCCACAATAATACGGACGCTTCTGTTTAAACTTTTGAGATTCGTTGTGTCTTTTAAGTCGTAACTGACGAAAAAAGTCCAGCTAAATGTTTCAATGGCTCCTATGATTGATTTGTAAACGAATCTAACTATGACATTTCTGTTGTAGGACAGGAATTGAAGTTGTGAATCGTCAGCTACAACATTACAAGGCTTGGGAATGCGGCAGGGGACTTTCAGATGTGTGCTTTTCCTAAGCGGGACAAGGTGATGTGATACTTTGAAGTTACATTTTTGTATATGGAAACTTCCGCTCTATGATTGTTTTCATTTTATTGCATAATACTGCAGATGTTGCCTTGTATCGATTATTATCGATGGGTGGTTTATGTATCGTCCGTTAGTTGATGTATTGTATATATGTAACAATTCCGTAGTTCTGATTATAGTTTCTAACAGCGTATTTGTGATCTTAATTGAAAATATTGAGAAATGAAATAGATTATGGACGGATGAGGAACGGAGTAGTACATAATGGTGCATTTCATGTTGAAAGTGATCATTGAAGTTCATTTGCATTCGCGGTCGTCATAGTGATCGCATTGAGACGCAGTCTATTTCTTTGTGTGATATGAAGTTGGACGTGTTTGATGCTCTTTAATTTGCGCGTTTATTCCGTTGTTATATACCTTGTTCTCATTTGAGAACGTGACATTACTTACTTGTAATGACCAAGTTTACATGGCAGGTGTCGTCGATGAAGCAGAAGACTCTTACTCTTCCGGAGCATATGGTCTAATTATCATTTTACTTTTTAAGTAGTCTCAACACAAAAATTGTATAAGGTTACATTTCATGAAGGTGATCGTTGGGGTGATTTCGCCTTGTTTGAAACGTCTTATGAGCTTGATTACTTTACAAAAATAAGCCTTTCAGTACATTTCTTTCATGACATCACTGAAAGGGCCTTTTGGTACGGTAATGTATACCCTTAAGTCTGAAACCACTCAGTAACATGGTAGGTCATCATTCAATATTACTTCTCGGATGAGACGTTACTTACAGGAATCAATTATCATCCTCCAACAGACAGTCTGATGCTACATACACTTTAATTAACCAAAGGGATGGATATGTAACGATTGCTGTTTCCTGCGAGTAATTTCAATTTCAATTTGAGTGTACAAAACTGGTCAATATCTTGCTGAACCCCACTTGAGACCATTGCCAATCGATGTGGCCTTTACTTACCATTACGCATAAATGACTTCAAAACCTCTTCAGGACTAAAGATTCCAAATTTTCTAGAAAAGATTGTTTGGTTCTTATTCAATTTCGTGTGGTGAGGTATTTACATTGGCCATCTATCAACGACGCTGCTTTATTCATTGACCAGTCCAGACGTATCATCGCAAAACCAACCACAGACACTTTTCTATTTTCAGGAAATCTAGAATACCATTTACAATTAAGCAAGATAAATGCTGGTTTAAATTGTTCTGTTCGGTTTCGTTACAACCTAAAATAACCTCACACATGGTATCATACGAATTTTGTGGTGTGAAGCAAAACGCATATTTTCTTTCTGGAAAAAGATTATATTTTCTCTTTTGATTTTATTCCTAAGGATACTATATTTTTACAAATCATGCCATCGTTGACCACAAAGTGCAGTGCATGTCCTTGAAAATAATTTTTACATTTGTTTGCTTAAGTACAGGGATAAACTGATATATTGAAATAATCTGCAAGTCATTGAACGAACTGGACTGCAGTCAATATTTTTTGCAAAAGTAACGAAAGCGAAAGTGATGAAACATGAAAATGCATGTAACTTAATACAACATTGTCATCAACCTTACTACATGGGCAATTAAATCACATCTGGTTCCTCTGTATTTTAAAATCACAATGCTTTTGCAGCTTTTCAATGTTTCAAGTGTTCCCATTTTCTTCATTGTGTAAGATTCTCAAACTGATATCAATGATACTGCCCAAAATGCAGGTTTTGTATATTGAAATGATAAAAGTATTTTCTGAATATAATTACAGTCTATATAATTGCCAGATGACCTTCTAGGAAATCTTCTACGGAAGTGCCATATTAATTCACATTATATTGCGATTATCTGAAGTATTTGTATTCAGTGATAGATATGCTTAAGACAATAACTATAACGCATATATGTAAAAAGAATCAAGAAAATACCAGCATGGCAACATAATTATAAGTCAAACTCAATTTCCATAAAACTAAGACAAAATAGGAACAAATGAAAATTTACATAGAAACAAGGAGAACAAGACAAGGTATTCCGGAAGAGTAAGCGTCTTCTGCTTTCATTGACGACATCCGCTATGTAAATCTCAGTCAATCCAAGGAAGTTATGTCACATGCTAATATTAGAACAAGGTATACAACAACGAAACTAACAGGCAAACTAACGAGTAACAAATACGTCCAGCTTCATGCCGCATAACGAAATAGAATATTTCTCCATGAGATCACTTTGGCGACCATATATATAACTCTATCGGAAATCGACTAAATCCGGGAAACTGAATATGACGAACCATAGGAGTGATATTTTATTTGCTTTTCTATCTATTTTGTTACTCCAAGAACTTTCACCATCACCATGGCAACAAATGACGGTAGAGAACAATGGTGTGCTGAAGATTGTCGGATCCTGTCAACTCAACAGGATATTTGATCGAACTGCATTTCTATTACTTACGTCTATTTAATAGATATACAATTTACATAAATATATCAAAACGTGCATTAAGAAAAATCCTATATACAAATGACATGTCTGAGAATCATTGTCCGTCAAAACTAATGCTAATGCTTGATTGTCCTTACAATTGTTACAACAATGGACTTTTTATGAGTACATGAATGAGCAGCAGACCAGTGAGAAAAGTTGTCTATCATGCCTGCTAGTTACCGTCTACTACTTATTATCTATTGTCTACTTGTTGCGCGTTTTTTCCGGTCAAATGCCCACTGTTTCCTGTCTACTGAGTGCTGTATACAGTTGGTTACAGTTCGGTGCTAACTGTTATCTGAGTGAGTACTAACCACTGTTACAAGTAAATAACACTTAAAAACGTGATTAGTTGAACATGATCAGTGTTAAGTTTGGGTTTGATAAATATTTAATATAAATAGTGGTACGTAAGTCAAATGGTGGTTTTTTCTTTCCAAATCGCAAGTGTTACTCTGGTGTATGCAGCTAAACTTATAATTCACCTTCAAATAAATTACTGTCTGTAGTTTAAGTACGCGTACAACTATTCCTCTCAATAGTCATCTTAAGAAAGATGTAGATGGAAGTGGACTTTACAAATAGTACGAGATGGCTGTATACACTTAGTACGAGATGGATGTAACCTTGCGAAATAGTCAGAGATGGACCAAGACTTGATAAGTAACCAAAGAAAGATGAAGTCTTGACCAATATTCAGAGATAGATGTAGACGACTTGGCAAGTATTTAGAGATGGATTTAGACTCGATCACTACTAAGAGATGACTTTAGACTTAATTATAGCCAGAGATGACTTGAGATTTGATTAATAGGCAGAGATGGATTGCTTATCAGAAACAGAAGTAGACTTTATCAATCGTCAGAGGCAATTGGAAATTGCATATAAGTATTGCGGTATGGTCAGACAAGCACTGTAAAAACACCCAAGGGAATAACACCTTGCATTAGAATTTTGAATTAGATACAGAAACGACGAATAATGAATTAATATAACTGCCCCATTTAGCAGTTTTGTCCCTCTAGGGTTCGTCAGTGCTAGGAGTTGATTTAAGAGAATCAAAATCGATTGATGGCGTCTAAAGTGATGTAGTGATATAGCGCAGAAAGTGTACTTTCGTCAAAATTAAAGAAAATAAACTCTTACTTTCAATATTTGATGAAAGAAATGATGAATGTTTCCCTGATCTATAACTTAACAATTTGAATTGGAACTCCAGACTAACGAGTTGCCAATAGACATTTTCCAGGACAGTTAGAATTAACCACAACACCAAAGCTAGTCACATGAAAGGAATTAAAGTATCTAAACGAACTCTCAAAATATGTAAGAAATATAGAATTTTCAAAAGAATGAAGATATAAAAAAGGACAAATTTCAAGTTCATGTGATAAACGATATACATACATGAAAAAGTTTAACGATGTGGTGTTTTTGACCATATCAAGTAAAAATAAAACATAATAAAACAAAAATATAAAAATGCGTTGCGTGTATGGTTGGGTCAATGTATATCAGTTACACTATTACATTTGTTGGTAGAAATCTCAATATGTGTCTTTCAACGTCTAAGTGTGTGATGTTTCATTTATACGTAACCATGAAGACAGTAACATTTTAAATAAAAACGAAATTTTGCAGTACTTGAAAGTAAAAGACAAAACAAAATTGCCCGGAAAAATGGCAGATACATACCGTTGCTGACAGGTTATAAGTGGCATGGCGACTATTCCTATCTGTTTACAAATCGATAACAAATTTCTCCAGCGAAACAACTTCGCAGTTTCCGCAAAAAAACGTATATTTCGTTAATCCATTAAAGGTAATCACAGTTTTAGCAGCTTTTCACCTTAGTACATTCAGCGTCGACGCACATTGATCCAAATTTACAACATCAAATAACTACAGGATGTGATTGAATTAATATTGTTTATATCTCTTGATATGTAATTGAACATCTTCAAACGACAGGTCGTTTGATTTTGTCTTCTTTTTGAGGATTCTTTTTACATATTGCTTGATGTTATTTCGAGTGTCATGCTATTCCAATTTCAATTACTGTCCATTCCTAACATATGTTCCGGCGCACTGGAGAGCAAACAAACGTGTCACAGATTCTATCAGCTTAAATAGAATGAAATACAGTAAAGTCTTATTTATATAACTGATAAAATCACAATAGCACAGTCCATTTCCCAGGTTTTATGTTATTACACGTACGAAACGTCACAAAACAGTTGTCAGATTCCATCTGAATAAGCGGTTTCACATAAGCAATGTACGATATGCAAGTTAAATGTCTACATGATGTCGTTGACAATCAACGTCACTCTGGATAGCCATTTCCTAAAAAATCCCATGTTGTTCTCTGTTATCATTGTTATGGTTAATCAAACCAAGATAATCTTAATTCATAACATGCGGGTGAGGTTGTTCTTCACATGCCTTAGCGGATTAAAACCCTATCAAACAAATATCACTGCTTCGTAAGTGGACGTTACGCGAAGAGTGGCCAGAGGTTGTCCGTGAATGTGGCATTCTTACAACAAAACACGAGTGATTACATGAGAAGGACATGACATGTAATGGACGTCTACAGCGATATGTAGTTAGATATGACCAATTAGCAGAGCAAGAGCAATGAGATCGATATTCATTATAATTGTTTTGTCTAAATTGAGGGATTGTGCCCATACATGATGCAGACTGAATTCTATGGGGAAAGTAGTTTCCGCCAAGGCGTCACTTTGTAAAAGCATAATTCATACGAATCTGATGGCTTCCGACACGACGTGGCTCCCATCCAAGTTTTACTGTCCCCTGCGTGTCAACTTGTTAGTAGTTATAGAACAAATGTCGTGTACATGGTATATCGTTAAAGTGAAACCATCACGAACATATATCGTATTGTTTTCTCTCTATATACCATATCTAAATCCTGATAATGCTTTGCCAAACGGAAGTCATCACAGCATGGAGTTCTCTAATCATGCATTATGTCTTTAGCTGTAGAGATGTATTGTTTTTCTGCAGATGTATTTTTATTTGTTGTGGGGTCAACCTAACAATGCAGATCATATGTATGTCCAGGATGGTGTCCGGTGTGGTGCGATTAACCATATTCCTTTCCCTAGACGTATTAAAGCGTGTTAACCTTATCGCAATGCCGAGACGAGGCCTCAAACTGGCATTCCTTAATTGTTACAATATCTACGCTAGCTAATCAGACACGGTACAGCGACGAAAACACGACTTCTCGCACAGCATGATATCTAACTATGCTCGTAATTTTACTTAGAGGATGTGAACATTTTAGACTTGACGTATATCGCGCTGGATCCCATTAAAATCTCATTAAACCCACGCGCTTCCATTTCATAATATTCCTCTACTGATTGCGTCTTATACTAATGCATTATACTCCAGGACTCTATTTAAGTAGATATTTAAAATTGTCCATCTCTTTTATAAGAAAATTGTTATTCAATTTTAAATACATTAATTATAACTTGATAATTTCAGTAAAACATAGAGTTGAGCAAGACTGATGTTCATTTGTTTTTTATCAACTGTATGTTGCCTATCTCATACCAGTGGGATATATCCAGCTGACTGATCTTTAAATGCAATATGGATTACTTATCGAGACTGAACGAACAATGTATAACATTGTACTTGCGCCATATGTTTGTATCTTCAGACGAGTAATTACTATTAACATCATCACAGTATCTAAACAAGTATTATTACTCTGCCAAGAAATGTAACCATGAAAGACTATCAGGGGGCACCAAGGAAGTACTAAGTACTACGATATGAGATGATTTGATGCAAAGGTCTTTAATATCCATTAATCTGTAGTTGACATTACGAAATCAACCATTTTTCCTGCTGATCTTTACTATTTGGTTCGAATGTTGAAATACTTCTTTTATCTTATACACGATACAACATTACAACATGCTTGAAACAAACATTTTACCAACATTTCATTATTGTAACACATTTGTTATTCGACGTGGGTATAGCTTGAAACAGGAACGATTATTGAGGAATGATTGTTGCTTTCTAAGTGGAACAAGTATAATAAGATTACACTTTGCCTGCGCACAACCTATCTTTAAACATGGTCGCTGTCATATATACATATTAGTATCCAGACGTTATTAGTAAACAAAACAGCCAACTTAGAACATGTCGCCTTGTGTTGGTTTTCACGCTAAACCTCTGATTACGTCGTAGGGTGAGAAATTCAATAGTGAAACTTTTTTTCTGTTGTCAACACGTGCCGCAGTGCCAGTTTATTTGTTTACATCATCCTGACATCCAAAGCCATATTTATATAACAGTGAAGATGGCGCCATCTATGGACATTTAGCGTCATGCCACTGATAGGTGTTTGATCTTGTAATTCAAGTCGTTAAAGCTGTTATATAGAGGATCTTATACGGAATTTACTATAGCGTGAAATGTCACGCGCCTTTAAACATCAAATCATTTTACAAGATCTGTAAATTAGGGTCTAATGTTTGAAGCTTTGGAGGGGCCTGAAATGGCCTGGACCTATGCCATCAGACCTACTTGCATATCACTTTTTTGTGTGTTATGCTTTGATTACCGATAAGGCTAGGCGGCTTCAAACCTTTTTCAGGAGTACCACATTGTGTGTAAATTGCACTATGTCAATGGGTCTACAGAATCAAGATTCAACCGACCTTATTGGGAAGAGATACATCCTGCTACGATGCCGTTTGTGGATGGATCTCAGCCACTGTGTGGATAGCCAAATGTTAGGGCGAATCCATGATTAAACTTAATATATGTCCGTTTATACAGAACCAACAATTTATTTTTAGAGATAAAAAACTGTCAACATGATGAAATGTGATTGAAAGGGATAACTCTTAGAAATATATGTGTTGATGGGCGATACGTCTTGACAGTCACGGTCACTTTAACGCTTGTTCTTTATTCGTTTAAGAGTGAGTGCAAATTGGCTAGCGTTTTATGATCTACGTGCAAGAATAGGGTACACACAGAGTTCAAGATGTTAGGTCTGGTAGCTCGAGAGACTTCGCAACAAATATATCAGCATTTCTCCGCAGAATAGCGTAAATGCTTCTATCGCTCCTTGTTTATTGTAGACTTAAGCCTCTCCGTGACCACTTGTTCACCTTGGACAAGACATCATTTTCAAAGAAGTGTCTAGGGCATTGTATTCTAAAAGAGAAGACGGTAGTTACATATGGATACCGCTGACAAACTTAATTACCCACGGCTAAACGGCGGAGGATTGCTACCAGACCCTACTAAACATTTTAGTTTTTCACTGCATGAACGCGTACCAATTAATCAGTAGGAAAGAGACACAAGCCAAGGTCCATAATTAAAGCAATTCTCTTGATAGCATGAATGGAATTGAGTTTCTAAATAATCACCACAGTTAAATGCTGTTTCTGATACAAATTAGATGTATCACTGTATCATCGCTATCACGGGCGTGAACAGTAAAATGATTTCGTATTTGGACTGTATCAATTGTGATTTCAACCTTCAGCTTTGCTTGGTAAATCCAGTTTCACTCCGATTAACTACATGCCACGTTCTGATTGATTTAAAAATTGATTTTATTTAATTAATGACTCGGCTCTACTGTAAATATGTATTGAATGGCACTATCGCTATTCACTTGTAACTTATAAGTGAAAAAGTGTCCTTTTATTATCTGTGTATTTACTTTCTTATGAATGCAGTCACCAAATAACATCAGAGCTACAAAACATCACTGTAGACATTGAGTAAAGTTGAATCAGTATTGTGATAACAAATTACAAAATGTCAGATGACCTAATGGTTTTGCTAGAAATGGCCTGAAAATATTTATGCTTTCGTGCAATAAATATAACTAACCATAAACGGAACCTCGTGATTTTATTTCAAATTACATATACCCCAATGTATTTATTTAAGGTACTATCGGAAGGAAAGAACTGTTTCATGATTTATTTGAATAAGTAACAAATATCACATACAAGAAAACTCCTCTTAATCGTTAGAATAATTCTATAATGATTATTAATAATCGGATAAAACAATATATATACATTTTTTGTTGTCTGAAATGGTGGCTTCGCCAAATGGTTCATCGGTTCATACAGATTTGCATAAGGTGGGAATTGCAGCAACCTGACTCAATGAATTGTATTCCGAAATTCTTTACGAAATGGTATATTTGAATTGCATGAGCTTTTACAAATTCGATGTTGATAATATTAAAGTGTTTGTTGCTGTTTGATCACATCTTCCCAATGACAAATATTATATGCCTTTGTCCGATATGAAACTGGGCTTGTTTGACACTCATTTGTTTGGCTGTTGGTTCCGTTGTTGCAGACCTTGTTATCATTTGAGAACACGCCATTACTTACTTGGATTGACTAATATTCACACGGTGGCGAAAAAGCAGAAGACGCTTACTCTTCCGGTTCACCTGGTTTTATTCTAATTGTACTTTTTAGACGTCTCCGTGCAAATCTTGGTCGCAGTAATGATCTCATTGTGATATCAATATGACACTGGACGTGTTTACCTGTTGTTAGTTTTATACATTGTTGTCGATGAAGCAGAAGACGCTTACTTTACCGGAGTACCTGGACTTACTCTCCTGGTACTTTTTCAGTATAATTCTTGTGTAATTGTGTAATTCTTTCTTTTGTTCATG